AGACGTCTAGAAGACGTAAAAAAGCACTATATCAAATGCAAGGATTATTATTATTATTATTGTAGATGTCACATCTGAGGTCATCAGGCACTTCAAGTGGACAAAGCAAATGGTATTGAAGCAGCAGAGAGCAATGGGAAAATTGAGCTCCATAGGGAGTGTGATATTATATGACAAACCTTTTGCTTCTTTTAAGTATTGTGTGAGTGCTGATGACAAAGCTGGACATGTGTTATTATTTCCTTTTAGAAAATGGTGTGTGGGGTGGCTATTGAATGGAGCTTTAATCAGAGGGTTGCAGGTGTGGGTTGAATAATAGGGGAGGCAAACTATTTTCCAAGTACACCTTGAATAGCTTTGGGTATCAGGGGGTTTGTATGGAATTCTCAAACTTGTATCCACCTCGCGAAGGATCAACATCCTGCCTAATAATTAATTATAAGAGTCCTGTAGCTCAGTGGTTAGAGCACTCGCCTTGCAAGTGAGAGACCTGGGTTTGATTCCCGGCAGGGCGAAACCTTGGGCAAGTTTCCTTAATCCACATGTCTGATAATAGTCCCTCAAGAAACAAAGACAATAATGAAATTGGTCGCTTCAATTCATGACTGTTTGTGGGACACTGCTGTGCGCAATTGGCTGCCGCGTTTCGCCCACAAATATACAGTTAATTCACTTTACAGTATATTCTGTGAGGTGCTTTGAGATGTGAAAGCGCTATATTAAAATGCAAGGATTATTATTGGTGGCAGTATTATTGATTAGAAGACTTATAACCATGTAAATGTCTAATATCCAATTAGTGACCATACTTGTAGGTTCTCTTTGGGGCTGAGTTGTCTCCAAGGTGACGAGACTGGCAAGTCTTGGTAGTCCAGTTCTCGAGGCAAGGAAACCTTCAGTTCTTCAGTGTACTGTTGATGAGAGACCAGCTAGCCTGGCCAGTCATTGGTGGCCAGGCTAGCTGGTCTCTCATCAACAGTAGATTAGAGGGGCAGGCCAGTTATTGGTGGCTGGGAAACCTCCTATTTGGTTGCTGTTCACCCCAAAGAAAAAACCCTACAATAACAACAACAATACCTTACATTTATGTAGTGGGCAGCGTCTCGGAGCACTTAACAGTGCCGGAGCTTAACCCTGAGCAAAGGGGAGGGAGGAGGTGACCAGAAGCCCAGTCGAAGAGGAAGGTCTGCAGTCGTGACCTGAAAGAGGGGAAGAGGGAAGGGAGGACTGTTCGGGTGGACATTAAAGGACTGTTTGAAAAGAGAAGTGAGTTTCTCCCGGTGTCCTGGGCTACCATGCCCCTGATTAAACTGATCATTCACATTCTGGCTGTTTGTGGGATTTTGATGAGAAAAAGTACTATATTTGATATAAGGATTATAAAAATAATCGTAGCATTTGATATATCGCTTCTCACCAGGGGGAGGTATCTCAAAGCCCTTCGTAGAATTCACTATATTTGCAGGTAAACACTAGAGGGAGCCCATTTCCACACAGCATTGTCCCACCACAGCCATTAAGTGAATGATTACTTTTATCTGGCGGATTGGAACAAAAACAGAAGTAGCTAGGAACACTCAGCAGCATCTATGGCGAAAGAAAAGTGAGTCAATGTCTAGTTCTGACGAAGGGTCGTGGAACCAAAACATTGACTCAAATGCTTCCTCCACAGATGCTGCCTGACCTGCTGAGAGTTCTCAACCACGTCTGTTTTTCTTTTCAGATTTCCAGCATCTGCAGTATTTTGTGTTTTGTTTATCTGGGGGATTGTTGGCCAAGACACCCGAAGAAAACCCCCTTCTCTTTTCAAATAATAATAATAATAATAATCCTTGCATTTGATATAGCGCTTTTCACGTCGGGAGGACGTCCCAAAGCGCTTCACAGAACACACTGTAAAGTGAATTGACTGTATATTTGTGGGCGAACGCGGCAGCCAATTGCGCACAGCAATGTCCCACAAACAGTCGTAGATTGAAAATGACCAATTTATTATTGTTTTTGGTTTTTTGGAGGGATTATTATTAGGCTCTGTGTGGAGTAAGGAAACTTGCCCAAGGTTTCGCGCTGCCTGGAATAGTGCCATGGGATCCTTAATATCCGTCCGAACAGGCAGGCAGAAAAGTCTCATCTGAAGAGTAGCCCCTGAACCAATACAGTGCACCTCCAGCATTGCACTATAGTCAGCCTAGACCATGGGCTTGGACCCCAAACCTTCTGACTCTGAGGTGAGAGGGCTGTCAACTGAGCAACAATGAAACACAATATTACGGCATTGAAGTTGGATGCACTGGAAATCGAGCTTTGAAATGTAATTGAACTCAAATAAATTGTGTCAAGGGTCATAATTATTTCATCTACAACAGTCAAATCACTACACTTCACAAGGCAGAAATGGCATTCATAATAATAATATAATAATAATGCTTGCATTTGATGTAGCGCTTTTCACGTCTTCTCGACGTCTCAAAGCGCTTCGCAGAATAGACTGTAAAGTGAATTGACTGTATATTTGTGGGCGAAACACGGCAGCCAATTGCGCACAGCAATGTCGCACAAACAGTCGTGGATTGGAAATGACCAATTTATTATTGTTTTTGGAGGGATTATTACTCGGCGTGAGACATTTTCTATCTTCTGCTGACACATTTTCTGTCTTCTTTTCTCTAACTCTCATTCTCTCTCTCTCAGACAGTCACTTTGATTCTCTGCATGTCTCTAACTCTACACTGTACTGTAGTAAACGTTTCAGTAAAAGGCATGTGGAGTAAGGAAACTTGCCCAAGGTTTCGCCTTGCACAATCATGTGCAGTGAAGCCGTTTCTGACATCTTCGTGACATGAAAGGCAAATCAAATGTTCAGCACAACCAGTTTTGTTGAACTGACAAAGCTGGCAAACCTAATATTGTTTCCTTTCAAAAATGTTCCCCAGCCTGACTCGGTAAGAGGAAAAAATATGAACTGAATGATTTTGTTCACCGTGAAGAGTTTCTCAAACCTTGCATCCACTTCGTGAGGGATCAAACCCCTGCCTAATAACTAATCAGAAGACTTATAACCAAGTCCTATAACAACAACAACTAAATTACATTTGTATAGCGCCTTTCACATCGGGAGGACGTCCCAAGGCGCTGGACGGACAGAGTTTCAGACCCGAGCTGGGGGTCGGGGTGGGGGAGCAGGGAAATTGAAAACACAGTCGAAGAGGAGGGTCTTGAGGTGGCGAGGGAGAGACAGAGGGCCTGTGGGATGGAGTTGCAGAGGGTGGGGGCAGAGTGGCGGAAGGCCCGCCCGCCGATAGTGGGGCGAGCAAGGCGGGGGATGTGAAGCAGGCCAGAGCCCACTGAGCGGAGGGAGCGGACAGGATGGTAGGAGGGTTAGGAGGTCCGAGAGGTAAGGGGGGAGCAAGACCATGGAGGGCTTTGAAGGTGAGGACCAGGATCTTAAACTGCGAAGAGGAGCCTAGGGTTGTCCTTAGCCTCCAAGATTGTCTTGGAGTAGAACAATGATTTAGCAGAGGCAAGGGCAGTCACTGGTGGCCGGGATACTTCCTATTTTTTTTTTATTTTATTTTTTTTTAATTTGGTTCCTGTTTCCCTCACTAATTGGTAGAGTGGTTCTAGTTGTTTTTTTCTAGGTTCTCTGACAAACTGGAAAAGTCAGCACTCTGATTAAGAGTATCCAAATCAAACAACTCATACTCCTCTGCGCCTTGGTAAGTTTCTGCTTTTCTGGAATGAGGTGTGCGCTTTCTCCCAGAGGTAAGAAACCTTGGTCACATAATTCTGGAATGTTTTAGGTGTAGATTGGCAAAGGCTCAGAGAAAGACCCAGAGAAGTGCGTTGTGTTACTGCAGGAGTTTACCAGCAAAAACAGCTTGGCATTTCAAACTGACTGGCAAGCTTCATGCTGCTTGTTGTAATTAGACAAGCTGCAGGAAGCTCACCAGCGCTCTGCAATCATAGATTGCTTTGTTTCAGCAGATTAGTATCCAGCAGTGCTCAATGTGCAGTTGGTGGTCCCCAAGCCTTTGCACTTAGATTCAAGGCAAAAGTTGCATTGATGGAGATAACGAATAAATAATAATTTTTGCATTTGCCTTTCATGTCACGAGGACATCTCAAAGTGCTTTACAGCACCTGAATGCCATTTCTGCCTTGTAAAGCGTGGAAAGTGGTCCACGCCTTTGTCGGCTAGACTACAACAACAACAACAACAACAACAAGATTCCATTTATAGAGCGCCTTTCACGTCAGGAGGACGTCCCAAGGCGCTGCACAGTTGGGTCATGACCCGAGCAGGGGGGAAATGGTCAGGGTGAGGGGAGGGAAGGGAGGGAGAGAGGAGGGGGGAAATGGTCAGGGTGAGGGGAGGGAAGGGAGGGAGCGAGGAGGAGGAAGTGAGTCGAGAGGGGAGCTGAAGGCACGGTCAAAGAGAATAGACTATTCCAATACCCTCCTCGATGGTCACCCCAGCTCCACCACACACAAAATTCAATTAATCCAAAACTTCACTACCCATATACTCACCCGCGCAAAACTCTGTAACCTCATCACACCAGTCCTTGCAAGGCTCCACTGGCTCCCAATTACCAAACGGAACAATTTCACTTGTTTTCAAATCCCTTTATGCCCTCGCACTTCCCTACCTATCCAATCTGCGTACCCGTCTCCACGACCTACTGCGTCAGCTCGGCTAGCTCCAGCCTCCTGTTTGTCCCTCGTACCCTCTGCTCCAGCATCGGCGCCGGTGCCTTCAGTCATTATGTCCTGAAACTCTGGAACTCTCTCCCTCAATCCCTCTGCCTCCCTACCTTCAAATCCTGCCTAAAGACCTTCCTTTTTGATCATGTTTGTAATCACCTCCCCCTGGCTCGGCCTCAGACTCCACCACTGTCAAGCGCTCCGGGATGCTACCCGGCCTGTTGGGTGCTATATAAATGCAAGTTGTTGTAAAGTAGTGATTTTTGTAGGTGTAATAATTATGACCCATGACACAATTTATTTTAATTTTATTTTATTCCAAAGCACAAAATTCCAGGCTTGAACACCAGCATCCAACCCCACTAACACCCACATTTCATCCAATAATTGGTGGAATGACGACAAATAACTAGAAGAATACAAGCCATATCAAATGCAAGGATGATTATTATTATTATTATTATAAAAAGTAAAAAAGTCATTCAGCTCCTGGTAGTGCACTGTTCCCAGAGTGTGCAAAATCAATCCTATTACAATCTCCCCCAGCTATTTAGTATTATGCCTTCTGCACTGATAACACCCAAGCTAATCTCCAAAGCTCTTTACAAACCAACCTAAACAAAAAGTGTTTTTCCCTGAATTGCATTTCTGGTGATTCCTTATAAGATCCAATTTGGTAATCACAGTACATGCAGTAGCTTTCCCATTACTTCTGCGCCCTAATTTCTGCATGGTTTTTCTTGACTGTGGAGAATCGGCAGACCTTAACCGAAGCAGGCGTGGGAGCCTCACTGTTGCACAGATATTCCATGGAAAGAATCTTGTGCGGCATATTGGTCACCAAGTACTTGTTGAGGTGGCTCTCTTCCTGCCAGGCTGCTTCAATACCATTTACTTTGTCCACCTGAAGCGCCTGATGGCACGCAGCTGTGACATCGACAATGTTATTCAGCGTTCCACCAAACATCGCTGCAATATAATAGAAGTGTCCATGATCTTTCGGCACATAGGCTTGAGATTCTGGTCTGCGTTCATATGGAAATTTGTTCCGAAGGATGTTAAAGTATCCAGGATGCAATACAGCAACTAATGGCGCAAATGTCTCTGCACCATAGTGGTTGGTAAATATTAAGTCTACATCTAAACAGTAGAGGTAATCCACCTCCCGAATTGATTTGTTCATGATGTGCTTGTTGATGATTTCCATTCTCCGCAGGGAGATCTCCTGCCAGCGGGAATATTTGACTGTGTTAAAAACAACCACGGATCGACCTGGCTTGAGTTCAACCCGAGGAACCTGTTCAGGGATATCTGTGAAGATGTAATAATTTACTCTGTAACCTTGCATGAAGTGTTTCTCTGCAGACTCCAAGAATGGCTTGAGAAACCGGGTGTACCTGCGGAACAAAATGGGCATTAACAACAACAACAACAACAAGATTCCATTTATAAAGCGCCTTTCACGTCAGGAGGACGTCCCAAGGCGCTGCACAGTTGGGTCATGACCCGAGCAGGGGGGAAATGGTCAGGGTGAGGGGAGGGAAGGGAGGGAGCGAGGAGCGGGGAAATGGTCAGGGTGAGGGGAGGGAAGGGAGGGAACGAGGAGGGGGAAGAGAGTCGAGAGGGGAGCTGAAGGCACGGTCAAAGAGAAAGGTCTTGAGACCGGCCTTGAAGGAGGAAAGGGAGGAAGCGGCGAAGGCACTGGGGGATGGAGTTCCAGAGCCTGGGGGCTGAGAGGCTGAAGGCCCGACCACCGATGGTAGGGCGGTTGGGGCGGGGGACGTGGAGCAGACCGGAGCCAGAGGAACGGAGGGTACGGGCAGGTAGGTAGGGGGATAGTAGGTTGGAGACGTAGGAGGGAGCAAGGCCGTGAATGGCCTTGTAGGAGAGGATGAGGATCTTGAAATCAATCCTCTGGGGGATGGGGAGCCAGTGGAGGCGAGCGAGGGTGGGAGTGATGTGGTCGCGGTGTCTGGTGCGGGACAGTACACGAGCTGCAGAGTTCTGAATGACCTGCAGCTTGTGGAGGGAGGTGCCGGGAAGGCCGGCGAGGAGAGAGTTCCCGTAGTCCAGCCTTGAGGTGACAAAGGCGTGAACCAGAGTTTCAGCGGCGTGAGGGGTGAGGTAGTGCCGTAGTCTGGCGATATTCCGGAGGTGATGGAAGGCGGTGCCGGTTGTGGTGCGGATGTGAGGGAGAAAGGACAGCTCAGGGTCGAACAAAACGCCGAGGTTCCTGACTGGCTTTGAGAGGTGGAGAGTGCAGCCTTGGATGCTGATGGTGTCAGCGCCTGAGGTGCGGAGGCGCTGACGTGAGCCAATCAGGAGGGCCTCGGTTTTTCGAAACGTTGAGCTGAAGAAAGTGACAGTAACAATTTGCATGGGTAAAGCACCCTTCACGTGGATAGTGCCTCGGAGCATGTAACCGCTGGGTAGTTTGTCTCCGAGCTGGAAGGGGGATGGGAGAATCACCAAAGGCACTGTCTTAGAAGAATGCCTTCAGATGTGATTTGAAGATGGGCAAAGAGGGGGGCAAGATAGAGGGATTAAGACAAGCAGTGCCAGAGATTCAGGGCAAAGTGGCCGAAAGCACGGCAACCAAATGTGTACAGGAGGGACTCGGGACATGCAGTGGACCTGTGGCAGCTGAGCAAAGGGGTAAAGTGAGCAATAGGGAGCCACTGGAGGTGATGTGATTGCCTGATATAGGTGAGTACATGAGCGGCAAAGTTTTAAACCATTTGGACCTTGTTAATAGTGGAGCTGGGGTCATGGATTCTTTCTACACAGCTACAGTTAACCCTGCAAGCCAAATAATAATAATAATCCTTGCATTTGATATAGCGCTTTTCACGTCGGGAGGACGTCCCAAAGCGCTTCACAGAACACACTGTAAAGTGAATTGACTGTATACTTGTGGGCGAACGCGGCAGCCAATTGCGTACAGCAATGTCCCACAAACAGTCGTGGATTGAAAATGACCAATTTATTATTGTTTTTGGAGGGATTATTATTAGGCTCTGTGTGGAGTAAGGATACTAGCCACCTCCCTTGCCTCCTTCAAGACCCATCTTAAGACCCTCCTCCTTAACCGTGCTTTCAATCACCTTGGTTCACCCCTGCCCTCCACCCTCCCTAATCCCGACCCCCAGCTCAGGTCTGAAACACTGACTGTCCAGCCTTTGGATGTCCTCCTCCCGTGAAAGGCCCTTTAGAAATGTAATTTTGTTGTTGCTGTTATCACGTCTTCGAGAACGTCTCAAAATGCTCCACAGAATATACTGTAAAGTGAATTGACTATATATTTTGTGGGCAAATGATACACCAATTTCTACTTACTTTGCAACAGCAAAGAGAGTCATTCCGATGGTAAAGTTTAGGGGCTTGTATGTTGCATCCAAAAGTTTCTGATCAAAGGAACCTTCCCAAATTATTGGTGCCAGCCAGGGGGTCACTAACATTACGTCTGTCCTCCTAAATTGAATAAGAAAAACTGTGATCAGTAGCATGATTTAAGTGTTTTTATTCTTGTACTTGTACAAGTTTATTTGTACAATGTAGAGTTAGAGACATGCAGAGAATCAAAGTGACTGTCTGTGAGAGGGAGAGAGAGAGAGAAAATTAGAGGAAGAGAAAGATATTAAAAAGACTCCCCAGTGTCAGTTGCGGTGGAGGTAATAAGGGAATGACCTTTAGGTGTACATATGGCGGCTTTTCAAGCGTATTATGAGAAACGAGAGCGACGGTAAGAGAGCTTGAGTGGGAGGTATGAGGCAGTGTGAAGAGTGATGGGAAAGTGGCGCCATTAATTACCCATCATCTCCTCGGTAGCAAAACCTGGCTCAGCCGCTGAGTGTCAGCAATGCAATATAATGTCAGGCTTGACTCGAAGGTGCAACAGCCAACAGCTGAGTCAGGCTCATATGCTATCAGGTGCTGAAAAGCTATGGTTTATGGCAAAAAGAAAGGCTCTGATACTCACGGTGCCTTCAATGCGAAGGGTTGTTCTACCTCGATTCTGAAACATAAGACAAATATTGTACTTCCTGTACAGCATTTAGTTGATTCTCCACAATTCAAGGGTCTCTGGATGTTGATCGATCAAGAGCAGGAGCCCTGGCTGCTTTTTCCGCTCTAACACAAGGCATGTTCAATGCCAGATCATTGCTGATCACTTCGCCCACAACATATACAGTCAAATTCACTTCACAGTATATTCTGTGAAGTGTTTTGAGACTCTCAATGACGTGATCAGGCACTATATATCAAATGCAAGGATTATTATCATTATTATTATCATGGTGTTGTTGCTGGCGTGGGCTTCAATTTCCCTCAATATCAGAGAGTGGACAATATGGGTAGCAGAGGATTTGGAGTAATTAATATGGAAAACCTGAAATCCACTGTGTGGTTTTGGCAGGCACAGATACTCACGGTGTCTGCGGTCCATTTCGTTGGATTTTCCTGACTCTTAAAGATAAAAACACATAGAGTATTTCTATTATAATTCTATAATTCTACACATAATTCTATTATAGGAACATAGGAACAGGAGTAGGCCATTCTGCCTGTTTCATCATTCTATTAAGAGCGTGGTTGATCTGTATCTCAATTCCAATAACCCGCCTTTGCCCCAAATCCCTTGATATCCTTACCTAATAAAAATCTATCCACCAATACCTACATCCAGACTTATGCAGTGGAGAGGATTAGGGGGTGGTGGGGGGTCTCTTGATGTTGATCAGAAGCAGGATCCTTGACTGCTTTCTCCTCTCTGACACATGGCTTGTGCAATGCCTGTTCAATGAAGTCACTGACTTGCCCACTGGTCACGGTGTTGTTGCTGGCATTGTTGGCCTCAGTTCCCCTCAATACCAGACAGTGGACAATGAGAGTAATGGGGGATTTGGAGTAAGTAATCTTAACCATTATTGGTGAAAAGTTGTAACCCCTATGGTTTGTAGCAGACAGACAGGATCAGATACTCACAGTGCCGGTGGTCTATTGTGTTCGGTATTCCTGAATCAAAAGGTAAAAAACAAATTAGAATTTTACTAACAATATAGTCAGAGTGTGTCTTGAGCCATGTCTACAATATAAACTTGCATTTGTTAAATTCCTTTCACGTTGGGCGGACATCCCAAGACAGTGAACAGTCAGGGATTAGGGATTAGGTTTAGGACCCAAGCAGGTTGGGGGGGTTGGGATCAGGGAGGTTGGAGGACAGGGAGGGTAGGAGCGTGGCCAAAGGCACGGTTGAGGAGGAGGGACTTTAGATGTGCCTTGAAGGAGGCAAGGGAGGGAGTGAGGCAAAGGGTCTGTGGGATGGAGTTCCAGAGGTTGGGGGCAGAGAGGCTGAAGGCTGGAATGCTGATGGTGGGGGACATGGAGCAGGGCGGAGCCTGATAAGAACATAAGAACATAAGAAATAGGAGCAGGAGTAAGCCATTCGGACAGGATCAGATACTCACAGTGCTGGTTCGGTATTCCTGAATCAAAAGGTAAAAAACAAATTAGAATTTTACTAACAATATAGTCAAGAGTGTGTCTTGGGCCATGTCTACAATACAATGCAATACAAAAATACATTTATTACACTCCTTTATTATTGGGAGGACATCCCAAGGCGCTGAACAGGCAGGGATAAGGGACTAGGGCCCAAGCGGGTGGGGGTTGGGATCAGGGAGCGTGGAGGGCAGGGAGGGTAGGAAGGTGGCTGAAGGCACGGTCGAGGAAGTGTGCCTTGAAGGAGGCGAGGGAGGGAGGGAGGGAGGGAGGGAGGGAGGGAGGCAAAGGGACTGTGGAATGGAGTTCCAAAGGGTGGGGGCAGAGGTTGAAGGCCCGACTTCTGATGGTGGGGCAAGCCAGGCAAGGGACATGGAGCAGACCGGAGCCTGATGAGCGGAGGGAGGGGACAGGTTGATAAGGGTCTGCCTAATTCTCCACAATTCTATCCTAACATGAGCTACAGTATGAACTGCATTGAGATGCAAAATTACTTTGGAAATGTCACCTTATATTCACAGTAAAGGAACCCATTAACTAAAAGGTTAGGAGAGTGAGCAGGGCAGTGGTTTAGCACTGACTTTTCACCTCTGGGACCTGGGTTCAGTTCCAGCCCAGACTGATTGGATGAAAGTCTCCACTGCCTCCATTCCATCAAGAATGGGGATCACTGACCTGATTTGCTCAACCACTTGCCCCACTCACTCTCCGAAATCCAGCAGCACTGAAGCCTATTAACTTAGCACCTCCCAAGATCCTACCTGGAACTTTCCCAATCAATACAAATCATTGTTAATGCTGATTAATTCCTTCACTGACTGAAGCCAAGGAGGGAGTTAAAAACCCAAAGTTAACAAACGACTCTTCCCAATTACTGACTTGCGTTATATTTACTGAAATAGTTTCCAAAAACTGTACTCTTCAAAATATCTGTTAAGATACCAAAGAAAGAAAAGATGTTGTTTTTTTGGGTGAGCTTTCAGCCACCTTGCCTCAACTTTCACAAACTTTCTCCTTGGATGTCTTTCTCTTTGAGTCCTCTTTGAACTCTCCTCCCTCTCCACTCCACTCTCAAACCTTTCTAAAGATCTACCAGACGGTGTCTTTAGATATCTCTCTCCTCCCCCCTTGCCACCCTCCCCGCCCATCTCCCAGCCTTCTCAGACTCCCACTCAAACTCTGTTTTGTTGTTAAACATGGCAGACAATTTCCAAACAGCCATGTTCCCAAAGACAGTTACCTTTCCTGGCTTTAGTGGGTAGAGGGTGCTGCACGGGCGAGGAGCAAACAACGAGCATCAAATGCAAGGATTATTGTTTAATCATTGACACTTTAAACACACCTACCGTAAATAAGACAGTGACAAAAGTAATAGAATGATGGCAGCCATTACTGTAAAATAAAAGGAAGTTGGCTCAGTAGAATTATAATGTGTTAATAATTCATTATCCCACATTATATGGTACAGTATCAAAACACATCCTAAATAACTCAATCAATGTGTATTTGGGGCAGAAAGTTATGGGTATGAATCTGGGTATGAGTTGTCCTCACAGCTTCATCCTTTTGGGGGTTCATATAAATCACAGAAGGAGGCCAGGATGTCTTTCATTACACATCCTCTTTGGTGAAGTAAGAAGTAGAGGCTGATTTAGCACAAAATCTATTTTATTAGTTGCCTTGCTGAGGCTCAAGAGCCTTTGAAACCTATGAAGCACAGGGTTGATAGGCAAGTTAGAGCCAGAGGATTGAAATGGATGAATACTTTGTGTAAGAGTCAGACCCAAGGTTCTAATAATAACAACTTGCATTTACATAACGGCCTTCACTGGGAATAGCGTCTTAACAATGGTGGAGTTTGATGTCGAGCTGGAGCAGGGGTGGACAAAATACGGCCCACGGGTCATATCCGGCCCACCCAAATGATTCTATCTGGCCCGTCATTGTGTCTAGCAATAGAAAAAATTATAGTTCGTTCAGTCCCAGAAAGTCGCACAAATTTTGCATTTGAATCTGACTGGGAACATCAGCCAGTCGCACGGCTTAGTTGTGCACCCGCTCTCTTAAGTGTTGAATCAGGCTGACGTCAGAAATGTACGGATTGGCAAATTTTCAAACACACGCCCAGGCTGAGATTACAACAGTGAGTTAGGTGATTGCACACAAAATCTTCAAAACCAGCAAACCATTCTCTGAAGGGGAAGTTACAAAGGAATATGTGGTTGACTCTGCCTTAGACAAGAAAAACCAGTTCGAGAACATTAGCTTGTCAAGGTGAACTACTGTGAGCCGTGTCGAGACTATCTCTGAGAAACTGTATGTGCAGTTACAAAATAAAGTAAGGAATTTTGCATGTTTTTCACTGGCACTCGATGAGAGTTGTGATGTCAAAGACACAGCTCGGTTGATAATTTTTATTTGAGGTATCTCCAAACATTTTGAGCTCACAGAAGAATTGGCATCAATGCAGTCAATTAAAGATATGAAAACTGGAGAAGACTTTTTGGAGGCAGTAAATAAGTGTATCTTAAAACTAGGAGTGGAGAAGTGGCCCGCCAGCCAAAATAATTGCCAACCCCTGAGCTAGAGAGAAAGGGCAGACAACTTTATGCATGGTCGAATAGGAAAGTTTTCAGGGTGCAATCTAAGTTGTTGTTGTGTACGGTAATGTTGTTGATGTGAAACAAAGTTCCTATTTCCTAGGCTTTCAGTTACCTGCCCATTGAAGCAATTATACAAGCTAAGGTTCTTCAGACGTGAAAGGAGACATCTCAGTCCTTAAAGAGATATATAATATTTTGAATGGGGTTGAAAAACTAAACCCAAAACGACCCCATTGATTCCATTCAGCCTAGATACTAATCTTAGAAACTTTCGCTGGACACCCTCCAAGTTCATCCTTCCTACAATTGGGTTCCCAAACTGAACATTTGCCTTTGTGTCTACTTTCTCTACCTGTAAATTAAATTCTAAAAACCTACAGATTTGAACTGCACGGATCTCTTTGCTCATCTACTCCTCCTAGTGATTCCCCATTTATAACTTAATCTCAACTACTAAACATCCATTTCATGTGTACTACCTCACACTTTGAGAATAATAATAATACTAAAAGTTATCCTTATATTCGATGTAGTGCTTTTCAAGATTGGAGAATATCTCAAAGTGCTTCAGAGGATAGTCTGGAAATTGTAGTGACTGAGCAACTTGTTGGAAATGCCTACGAGTAGGATGAGACAGACATGTAGAAATAGTAATTAACCATTAAACCCCTCAATCCTATTCTGCCTTTTGGCTGACCGCTACAAAAAACATTATATAGGAAGATAATTAACAGAGCAGGGAGGTTCAGTATCAATATGCATGGGTGCAGATGATAAATATTCATTTTATATGATCATGGCTGATCTGCATCATGGATTCAAAGGAATGAGTTCTTTCACCAAAGTTACTGCTCCGATTGGTTACCATTTTATACTGCTCCCTGTTTCTTGAGACGTCCTCCCGTCCATAAACTATATAAACAATTTTATTGTTGTGGTAAGGAGCAGGGTGTGGTGTGACGAGCAAATAGAATAATATTTGGTAAAATGAAAGGCATTCAGTTAATAATTAATAATAATCTCGTATACTTTAAAATTCATTTCATGCTTGCATTACCCACCCACAAAACACTATCATTGATTGAAAGTTCAAAAGTCTACTTACTAATTGATAAGAGTCTTGCTGCAAACGCGAGCCGACCCATTATATACGCTCCCGGTTCTTTTGTGCTGTTTCTGCCACGTATTCTGTGAATTGATCTGTGACAAACAGAAGGTTTTCTGGTTTGATCAATGGCCATTGGTCAGTGGGTTTTCCTCTAAGCAAAAATCCATTGCAGTTTTGAAAGATCAAAATAGATCCATTCGGTCAAATGCAAATAAGCTTTCGATTTGATTCCAAAACCTACAAAAGTCAAATATCTTAAGCTTCTAGGTATCCCAGTCCAATACCAGGTGCCAGTTTAATCATGTAAGAGACTTGGGTAAATAAACATGCCTGAAATGAATTTGAACCCACTTCCACATTGTGCAGCAGCACATTAGCATTGGTGTGAACTCCCCCTCACTGACTTCCAACATCCACTATTCCCATTTTACTAAAAATCCACCTCACTGATGGGTCCTGAGCTGAGTAAACAGACCAGCGCTTGCTCCCTCACAGATCTTATCGATAGAATGCAGACGGCTCAACACCAATCCATGTGTAGCTGATGGACTGAAGTCCGCATTCGGTGAAGCTCCCATTGCATCTCAGACCCTACCCTAGAGGCACCCACGCCGCTGCATCGGCCACATAGCAAGGGTCTGGGGTCAGCAAGGCTGCGGATGTTGTTAAGGAAGGAGAATTCGCTTCCAGGACAGGCGGACACGTGCTTCCCATGTTTGCCACAAATCCAATGATGAGGACCATTTATTTGCACTGACCCCTAATATCACTCCCGAGTGAGAGCAAGATTTGACTGTTGGTTCGAGACCAGATTTGAAAACAACAACAAATTACACTTTTATAGTGTCCTGCGTGCAGGAAAGACGTCCCAGGGCGCTGGACAATCGGGGGGGGGTTTGGACCCAAGCTGGAGGTTGGGTTTGACCCAAACTTGAGGTTGGGTTCAGGGAGGGTGGGATAGGGGTGGGGGGGGTTGACCGAAGGCACGGTCGAGGAGGAAGGTCTTTGACGGGACTTGAAGGAAGCAAGAGAAGGGGTGAGGCGTAGAAGGAACCAGAGGAGTAAGCGGATAGACCCAGTGAAGACCTGGAGATGGGGGACACAACACCAGCCACGGTTGGGTCACGGGGCATTCCCCCAAACCCCCAACCCCTTCCCCCCCCACTCCCTCCCTCCCTGTTGGGGGGGGGGGTGTTGGAGTGGAGGTATCAGCTCAGCAATCCGTGCATTCATCTCCTCTCAGCCCACAAACCACCTCTCCATCACTTGGAACCATCGCCTAAACATCCCCCCCACCCACCCCCCACCCCCCGGGGCAGAGAGCCGAGAGCAGGGCCTCCATACCCGCTGTTTGGGTGTCGGGTGCGGCCGATAATTCGATGCAAACAACATCCCTCCATTACCCTCCGGACGCCGCACCTTCTCTTCCTCGTTTAACGCCACCGCCGCCGCACCCGAATCTGCTGCGGACTTTATCGATTCCCCAATGCAAATAGGTTATTATTATTATTATTATTATTATTATTATTATTATTATTAGCCATGAACATTGCTCCTCCAAAACACCTTCTCATTTAGAACTCACCCTTTCTGTCTCTCGAGGAGGGAGGGAGGGAGGGAGGGAGGGAGAGGGAGAGAGAAAGAAAAAAAGAAAAAGAAATAGAAAGGAAGAGAAAGAGGACACCAGATACTCGCCAGAAACTTGCATTTCTTCACCCAAAATGTTTCAACCCCGAAAAAAAAACCCCGACTCGCAGTGCACTGAAGCGACTGACTGCGAGACCTCAACTCACCTGTGTTTCCTTCTGAAAATAGATCGGTCACGAAGCTCTGCTCAGCAGTTAATCAAACGTTCCTCCCTCTCCCTCTCCCCCTCCCCCGCGAGTGATGATTCCCCCCAAAGAAACAGAACTGAGTAACAACGGGTTCGAGGAACTATAAAAGCCTCAAAGGAGAAACTGGAATAACTGGAGATGTCTGGGTTTGGAGCTCAGGGATGGTTCCCCATCAGTGCCGCAACGTTCAGCTCTGATCTTCTTTTATTTGGGGGGGGGACAGTCTGGAAAGTACAACTAAAAGCTCTTATGGTTATCGACCAATACACTCAGTCTCCCTCCCGATCTCAATCGCAAAACGTTTCCTTTGCACTTACGACTACAGTAACCGACACCACTTCCTGAGAGTCGAAATTTGCCAAAAGTGCAAACCCCTCAATACAGGCGCTGCTTTTCAATGATATCAGCCTCGTATTTGCATGAAATATTTCCCCCATAAAATACACCGCACCCCCCTCCCCCCCTCTCCACCCACCCACACACACACACACACACTGTACTTCCCTCTTTCCTGTGAACAGATGGGTCTTCTCAGACCCAATTTGTTTACGTAACGTGGGGGGTTCTATTTTTGGCACATCATCCACCAAAACACTGGAGAAAGACACTCAGGCTTTTGAATACACACACACACACACACACATATATATATATATATATTTATTTCTTTGTTAAAATATTCATTGCGACATGTGTGTCTGACCTTGATCCCAGTTTTCCTGCTTTGGATCGGGGTGGAGAGGGTGCCAGGGAGAGTCGGGATCATTCCACCTGTGAGACCCCCCCCCCCCCCCCGGGAGGGGAGGGTGAAGGGGGGGGGGGGGGGCAGAGGAGAGAGAGAGAGGGAGAGAGAGAGGAGGGAGAGAAGCAACATTTGTCGTGATGATGGTTTGTGTCACTCACACAATCTGCAGCCGTCTGAGCAGAAATAATCCAAGAAAGACGCAGAAACTGTGCAGCTTGTTGTCCAATACTCAGTAACCATTTACTCTCCCCCTCCTTCCCCCCCGTTTTAAATGTTGGATCTGTGTGCATAAAACGAGGAATAAAGTCCATTCCTAAACGCAATCCCCCCCCCCAGCTTGTGCCCGCCTCCATCATATGCAACATGGCCATTTTAGTTGTATTCACGAGAAACTGACTGACTGGAGCTTTTCTCCCCCCACCACAGCCATTGGATTTGGAGACTCTTATGAGCTGTGTTTCAGTTGCTGTACAGCAATCCTCACCCAATGCAAACCGTGTAAAAGGGACGAGTTCTCCTCTCTCCCCTTCCCCCCCCCACCCCCAGTCTCTTGTTTTGTTTGTGTATAAAACACAGAGAGAGAAATTCCGACCACCATTCATTTGCCAATTCAATCAATTACACGTTTGAAAGGAATCAGCCATCGGCATTGCGTAAACCAGAGGGAGATATGGTGAGGAAATGATGAGATGGGATCCTCGGGTAAGTGTGATTTTTTTCCCCTTCCCCCGTTTTTACACAAAATTGCTAAATGTACCGAAAATTGCGGACCTCTCATGTTTTTTTTTAAAAAAACACACACACACACACACGTACACACTCACCCAAAAGCTGTCGACTCTGCTATTGGATTTGATTTGCAGCAAATGCAAAGCTTTGCCTCGCGTTTAAAATGCTACTGAAACCACTTCGGGGGTTGGCATTAGTCGCCGCCTTTATAGTTTGTGCCTTATTTGTGATTGTGTTGTTGCTAATGGTTGGAAATAGCTTTATATAGATATATATCTATATAAAAAAGGAGGTTTTGCAAAGCAACATCATTTTTAACATATATATATATACAGGTAGATAGATAGATAGATAGATAGATAGATAGATAGATAGATAGATAGATAGATAGATAGATAGATAGATAGATAGATAGATAGATAGATAGATAGATAGATAGATAGATAGATAGATAGATAGATAGATAGATAGATAGATAGATAGATAGATAGATAGATAGATAGATAGATAGATAGATAGATAGATAGATAGATAGATAGATAGATAGATAGATAGATAGATAGATAGATAGATAGATAGATAGATAGATAGATAGATAGATAGATAGATAGATAGATAGATAGATAGATAGATGCTGTTGCATAACAGAATGCCCAGTGGTTATGGTAAAGGGTGTCACCTCTGCGCTCTTTGGGGTGTGCGGTTGAGCGGGTACAGTGTAAAGCCGGAGCCCTGTTGTGTTTGGTGCTCAGCGCCTCCCACTCCCCGTGAAATCGTGTGGAGGATCCACAGTGCCCAATGAGGTCATATGGTTCCTGACACACAATAGTCGGTGCATTTCAAATGCAAACCCATTCCGCACTTCCTGACCATTTTACTGGCGACCATTCAACTGCAGGTGCGATGGTCCCTTTGAAATAAAAATGCACGATTTGGACCTGGATTTTTTGTTGGTGGCTTTGATTTTTTTTTTTGGGGGTGGGTGGGGGGGGGGAGGGCGAAAAATCCTGTTGATTCATAATTTTCTTTCGGTTTGATGCACGGTACCCTGCACCCAGTCGTTGAAAAAAACAAAGCATCATTTATTTATTTCACAAGAAAAATATCTAATAACACGCTCCTGCCTTGAAGACGCTGAATGTTGTGAGGGTGCTGTTCACTCAGTGAATATTAATGGGTGGAAGGACAGATAGAAAAGGAAAGGGGGATTCTTGGGTTGATAACACGGTGAGAGTAAATACAAAAACAAAGTGATATTAAATTTACAGTACAGTACGAATTACATTTTACACATCGAAGGGCATCGAAGGGCATCTTAAGGCGGTTAACAGTGCTGGGTGGGCACCCAAGCCAGAGGAACCGAGGACTGGGACCGAGGGAGGGTGGAGAGGGGAAAGATGATCAAAAGCGTGGTCAAATAGGTACATTTTGAGATGTGCCTTGAATGAGGAGAGCGAGCAAGTTGGAGGGACTCTGGAATGGAATTCCAGACATCGACCATCATGTTCTTCTGGCAGAACACGGGCTAGCCCACGCTTGGAGTACTGTGAGTAGTTCTGAGGACCCAATTGCAGTAGGACATTGGAGCTAACAGAGTGTGACAAATCTCAAATCCATTCTTAGATCAAGCAAATACTGGGGCCAGGTTAGGGTGAGGGTAAGAAGTCTAATGTACAATTACTGACGTGACAGGCGCTATACAAATGTAATTTGTTGTTGTTGGCCATTTGGGGTTAGATCTGAACTGAAAGAATGGACAACAGGGCAATAGTGAATCAGATGCCTAGTTTTAGAAGGGTTTCTGGAAGGATAGTTGAGGCCTAGCTATTGGATAGAATACAGAATAGGCTGAGACTGTAGTGTAGTATTGGGGAGTACTGCCTTTTTGGAATTCCGTCCTGCAGATGAGATGTTAAACTATGGTCGCCTCAGCCAATTCAGGTGGATGTTGAACATCCCCATAACATTATTTGAAAAGAAAAGAGAAGTTTCTTCCAGTGTCCAAGTCAACAATGCTCAGGTATGTCATTAGACCCTACCTGTGGTATGCTGTTCAATTAATAATAATCCTGGCATTTAATATTGCACCTTTCACATTGGGGGGACACTTGAAAGTACTTCACAGGATATATTGTAAAGTGTTGAGACTGTATATTTTGCGGGCCGGTGGGTTCATTCTTTTAAGCACATACTTAAATCCAAAGTGGCTCTATTTATAGGGAAACTAAATAGTTGCCTAGGCAGCAGATTTCTGAGAGAAGTGAATTGTTTTTTTTAACCCTTCAGTTAATTCAATTGAGATGGGAGGAATTGCAGTGACTCTTGTGTTCTAGCACTGGGGAGGGCCTTTAGGCATATTAAGATAAATTCATCTCTCTATGTTGAAGCTAAAGCTATCAAACTTCTAAGGAGTTAGGAGGGGGGGCAGCATATTGATGTTTTGTCTGAAAGGCGCTATATAAATGCAATAATAATAATAATAATAACTCCAGCTACAGGATGCAACTTGTTGTTGTAGATTTTCTTCTGTTGAGATGATTCCAACTGTCTCATTCTCCTCCCTCTCAGTTTTCTCTGATATTTCCTGAAGCTGATTACTCATTTGTTGAATTACACTGACTGACTTGTAGAGTCCTGTAGCTCAGTGGTTAGAGCACTCGCTTTGCATAGCGAGAGACCTGAGTTCAGTTCCAGGCAGAGGGCGAAACCTTGGGCAAGTTTCCTTACTCCACCCACACAGAGCCTAATAACAATCCCTCCAAAACCAAAAACAATAATAAATTGGTTATTTTCAATCTACGACTGTTTGTAGGACATTGCTGTGCGCAATTGGCTGCCGGGTTCGCCCACAAATATACAGTCAATTCACTTTACAGTGTGTTCTGTGAAGCGCTTTGGGACGTCCTCCCGACGTGAAAAGCGCTATATCAAATGCGAGGATTATTATTATTATTAGTATCACCTCAGGGTGCTTTGGTGTATTTCAAACAGCAATCAAATGTTCTAGAAGGTTTGATAGTTAAATAGTTGAAAGTAGCTTTGCTGGACGGGTTGAGGTTAACTTTTGATTACATTTCGTATTTTCCTGGAAAGATGTTCACTTCTCTGAGATAATGAGCAAATGTATTTTTGAGCAGAGATGTAAAAACAATGAACCACAGGAAGAAAAGGCTGCAGCGTCAGACACCTGCTTATCTCAAGGCTGAGAAACAAGCAGGCTATGGAAGGCTGGCCAGAAGTTGTCCATATCCCTCTCTGTGCAAAGCAGCCTGCAAAGGGCGGGGGCTATCTCTGTGACAAGAGGACGTGGAATTAAAAACACATAAAAGAAAGATGTAACTTTGGAACAGTTGGAGTTGTGTAGAGGGTCAGCACACTTCCCAGTGGAATCGATATTGATTCTACTGTATCTATCTATGTGTACAGGGGGTGAGGAAATTTAACATAACATAACATGTAGGAGCAGGAGTAGGCCATTCGGCCCTTCGAGCCTGCCCCGCCATTCAATCATGGCTGATCTTCTAATCTAACTCCAGCTAATAACCTAACCCTGCCTTATCCCCATATCGCTTAATCCCTTCTGCAATAAGAAATCTATCTATCTCAGTCTTGAATATGTTCAAGGACTGAGCATCAACAGACCTTTGGGGTAGGGCGCTCCATACATTCACCACATTTTGAGTGAAGAAATTCTTGCTCAACTCAGTGCGAATTTACTTCCAGCAAAGAAGTGACCGTTAGAAGTGAAAAAGGAGAAGTAGTGTTTTTGGTTCTGTCTGCCATATATAGAAGTAATAATAGTATGTGGTCA